CAACCCCTCACAAAGGATAACTACACCAAACCCAACATTGAACTAAACACAAAATATCCACGGAGAGACACAACCCCAAAGGCTTTCAGAACCATTCAACCCCTCACAAAGGATAACTACACCAAACCCAACGGTGAACTAAACACGAAATATCCACAGAGAAATCAGCTTTCAGAGCCATTGAACCCCTCACAAAGGATAATCACACCAAACCCAACTCTAAACACGAAATATCCATGGAGAGACACAACCCCAAAGGCTTTCAGAGCCATTGAACCCTTCACAAAGGATAACCACACCAAACCCAACTGTAAACACGAAATATCCACGGAGAGACACAACCCCAAAGGCTTTCAGAGCCATTGAACCCTTCACAAAGGATAACCACACCAAACCCAATACTGAATTGAACTAAACACAAAATATCCATGGAGAGACACATCAGGTCTCAGAGCATTCAACCCCTCACAAAGGATAACTACACCAAACCCAACGTTGAATTTAACACAAAATATCCATGGAGAGACACATCAGCTTTCAGGATAACTGCACCAAACCCAACGTTGAATTTAACACAAAATATCCACGGAGAGACACATCAGCTTTCAGAGCCATTCAACCCCTCACAAAGGGGGTTTGATAACGCTAAGGATAACTCCACCAAACCCAAAGTTGAACTAAACACGAAATATCCACGGAGAGACACAACCCCAAAGGCTTTCAGAGCCATTCACAAAGGATACCTACACCAAACCCAATGGTGAACTAAACACGAAATATCCACAGAGAAATCAGCTTTCAGAGCCATTCACAAAGGATAACCACACCAAACCCAGTGCTGAACTGAACTGCCAAGAGCTCTGGAGGGTTTGCCATACCTGGCTGGTCCTTTCTTCATGTGGTCCCCGATGAAGGTGGCGTTGGTCATGCTCATCAGAGTGTTGGCCAGCGAGATGACAGACAGCAGGTGCTGGGTGGTGACAGCCCGGGACACGCCGTACGTGCCCTTCCCCAAACCTTCAGTCACGGACATTTTCCTGCCCAGCTCCTCCAGGGCTGCTTTGCCCACGGGCTGGTTGTAGCCAGGCAGCATCAGGGACATGTGGCCCCCTCGGGACAGGAGGCCGAAGGACACGGTGCAGTGCGGTTTCAGCATGCCCAGGCGATCCAGGCACAGCTCATCCAGCACCGAGTTCAACCCCCAGGCGTGCAGGCACGACATGAAAAGCTTGGCTGTATCCATGGTCAGGTTATATTCCAGCAAAGTCAGCGGTTTGGATTTGCTGGAGCGATACTCCGGGTCGCCATCCTCCCTCCTCTGCCTCATGGCCTCCTCATCCTCATCTTCATCATCCAGGAGGTGCTCCTTGATGTTCTCCTTGATGGTTTCCTTCACCTGCTGGAAAAGCACGGCCGCCCGTTTGCCCGTCAGGAAGGAGCCCCCTTTGTCAGAGCCACTGGAGGATTTCTGTAAATTCTCTGGAGAAACCAGGGCTGTGTTGGGCCGCGAGGCCTCCTCTGTCAGCAGCTGGATTATCAGAGCCTCCACATCAAAAAACAGCACGTGGATGTCTGGGTCTGTCAAATTCGTCTTGATGGCCTGAACCATCAGGGAGTTATGGGAATATTTTGGCAAATTCCCCTGGAAAAACGAGAGAGAGAATTGACATTTCCATTAGGGAAGCTGTGGATGAGCCAAGTTTGAAATTCACACCCATCAAACACTATTCCATTTAAGGAGGTCTGTAAATAATCTGAGCTCTCAGGCAAGGCACAAATCCACATTTCCTTCTCCTGAATCCTACGAGATCACAGTTATATTCCATCCCAACCTTTGTTACTAAGCTTAAAACACATTAAATATTTCCAATTTGGAGTTAATATAGAATCAATATATGGAAAAGAAGCTACTCCAATTCACCCAGACCTGCAATTACTGCACCACTTGGTGATTTCACTTAAGCCCATCTTCTTCCTCCTTCCTTCCCTCCCAAGGGGGGAAAAAGGGAGGAGGCAGGGAATTAAGATGCTGTGGGATAAAAGCTGAAGAATGTCAGCAAACCAGAACATTAATACACTAATATAAGTTTTTAAGCATTCTCCCAACACTTTCACTGGACGAGGAGCCCACAAAACACCCAGACACAAATGTGACATTSCCAATTCCGCCTGGATGCAGCAGGAAGAGCAGCAGAAGCCCTTATGGAAACATCCTGGTGGTGCTCCAAGGAATGTTCTCACTATGGGAGATTTTTCCTCAAACAGAAGGTAATTTAAAAGGAAAATTGGGAGAGGATGGAGCACTGCWGCGCTCTGCTGRCCACGAGCTGCRCCAGGGGAGGTTTTGGTTGSTATCAGGAATTGTTCCAMMRAAGCACACCCACCTTGTCYGAGGCTTCAGAAGCCAGCAGGTTGGTGGCCAGGGTCTGCAGCTTCTGGTGAGCCACGTTYTTGAGAGCAGCCAGGCTGCGGCGGGTCATGGCCTGCTTCAGATTGACAGCGGGGTGGCTCAGCGAGTCCACGGCCGCAGGAACGGCCTCGTCACAGGCATTCAGGATCTCCACTGCTGTGATTCCCATCACACACCTGTCCAGAGCTCCTGGAATGGTGGAGTCAGGGAGAAACAGCTCAACATCCCAGATATCA